AATAATTATGATTTTTCAAATGTTTTTAAAGGCGATGTCTCTTATGCTCACCAAGACTACATGTATTTGATCCAAAATATAGAGTATTATTACAATATACAATAACAATTTTCAATTTTAATACATTTTGAAATGTAATAATACATTTTACAATATTACAGTTTTACTGTATTTTTGATCAAATACATGCAGCCTTGGTGAGCATTTAACTGGTAGTCAAACGCTTGTATTCTGAATTATTATGCTTTGTCAAGACTTTATATACAAGCAACATTTTGAAATGATAAAACTGCCTGTTTAATTCTTAGGGTCATGGAAGTATGTTAAACTAAATTATTACATTTGGGGCAAGAAATTTTATAAGTGGACTTATACAAGGGAAAAACATTTAATACAAATATATATTTATTATTATAAATTTTTTTAATTAAATTGTATTATGTTTCCCCCCATATATTATTATTATTATTATTATTATTGAGAAACTTTAAGAAACTTTATAAGTGGACTTATTATACTAGGGAAAAACACATAATTTGTTCCCTCATACGTGACCCTGGACCACAAAACCAGTCATAAGTAGCATGGGTATATTTGTAGCAATAGCCAAAAATACATTGCATGGGTCAAAATTATCGATTTTTCTTTTATGCCAAAAATCATTAGGATATTAAGTAAATATCATGTTCCATGAAGATATTTTGTAAATTTCCTACCGTAAATATATAAACACTTAATTTTTAAGTAGTAATATGCATTGCTAACATTTTTTTGCACCCTCAGATTCCAGATTTTCAAATAGTTGTATCTCGGCCAAATATTGTCCTATCCTAATAAACCACACATCAATGGAAAACTTATTTATTCAGCTTTCAGATGATGTATAAATGTCAGTTAAAAAAAAAATTGACCCTTTTGACTGGTTTTGTGGTCCAGGGTCAACACATTTAATTATTATAATTTTTGAGGGGGAAAAAATATATGAAATCAGTAGAAGTATATAGTAGAAATAATATAGCAAATTTAAAAAAGGTGATTCTGCTGCAGGTACTAGGGTTGGGCCGATAGATGATGCCATCGTCCATCGCCGATGGCTGACAGACATCACGATGTTAAGCCGACATCGTGATTCCCCCCCTGCAATCCGCCGCATCCCAGTTTCGTGTTTGGAAAGGAAATTAAGTGTACTACGGAAACCCTAAAGGGAAAAAATTGCCTACGAGATGGGAGGATAAAAAAAAAATCGCAATTATATCGTTGGGTAAGAATAGGCGACTGTATATAAATTACGGGCATCAGTGAGCCGCTATTGAAACCGCTTTCGATTGCGCGCTCTCATTTTACTTTCACGATTCGCGATCACAAGGACTCTATACTATGGAGCGGCAGTACTTACCACACATTTGACAAAATTAGATGTTTGTCATTGGTGCTCAGGATCTGCAAATCATTCACCATCGTCCTATCAGACATTTCTCCTTACTCTGTGTATGTGGTAAGTGAACTTTCATGTACTGTAATGCAACAGGCTACCGCTAGCGGCTAACATTTTAGTGGCTCCGAAGAATGCGTTATTTGTTTCACGCTTCGGCACACCCCTAACCTAACCCCCCCCCCATATCGTGATGTCATCGTCCATCACGATGTTTCACTTTAGACATCGTCCGATGCCAATTTGGTAAACATCGGCCAACCCTAGCAGGTACGTGATTATAGGATGAATGACTATATGAATAATGATATGACATTATTTACCCCTGTATGACAGATGTGAGGAATGTCCTAGAGAACTCCAGGTTGGGCTGTGTGACCTCTGCTGGCAGTTTGCTTATAAACGGGAGCAGGTTTGGATGCAGAGATGTTGCAAGACCTCGACCTCCTTCCTTAAGAAGCACCCAGAGCTTCGGCATCACGCCTTTTCTGGCACTGACATGTGTCCAGCAGTTCTGCACAGAGTTCACATGGTGACAGTGATTCTGAATCACCGCTGACAACAGACAGCTATAAAGTGCAATAACATTTCTATTAGACTGCATAAGACATTTTAATTTTAGAATTAATACAGGTTATGACAGAGTTGGAAAATTTGAGATTTTTGTTGTTTATTATTCAAAATAAATATCAAAATATTCATTTACACAACTATTTAAAAGTTTGGGGGTTAGAAAGATTTTTTAATATTAAAAAAATAGTCTTATTCTCAGTAAAAACAGCAAAAAAAAATTTATATTATTACAATTTAAAATAATTGTTTTACATTTTAATGTCTTAAAATGTCATTTATTTTTGTGATGGTAAAGCTGAATTTTCAGCATCATTACTAACATACGCTGATTTGCTGCTCAAAAAAAAAACAACCTTACTGACCCCAAACTATTAAACGGTAATGTAACTTTGATTATATCTGTGTAAAAAAAAAAAAATCAAGTCTCACATCAACGCAGGACAGAATATGGAGGACCGCCTCCCACAGAGGGGGCAGCACCACTGGGTCTGTGTCGTCAATTGACAGCAGCACAGCAGAACACGCTCGGGCCGCTTCTGCCTGGATCAGCTGGGGTGCGTCCGCACACATGATAGCAATCAGCTCAAAGAATGCCCCTCGAATCTAGAAAATAAAACAGACAGCTTTGAATGATATTAAAACACCTGATGTGAATCTTCAAGTAAACAGGTAACAAACAGTACAAAACACATTGTGAATAATTCACTGAAATCTTTACATCTGCCAATTTTTAATAACACTGCAGATTACAGTGACATCTTACAGCAAACCCTAGTAATTTTTCTGTTCTCAATAAAAGCAAAAATAGAGACTAACATCTCTATTTTAATATTTCCATTTTAATAACAATTCAGAGCATATTTAATGTTTAATATACAGCTAGTTTGAAGAGGATTTTGAGCCAATGAGATTTTGATGTGGGTGTAAAGTATCTTAAATTCAAACTAGAAAAGTTGCCTGTCATGGTCACACCTGGTTAGGATACTGGTTAGGCTCACCTGTGGGGTCTTGTGTTTGCTGTACTTCCAGAATTTTCCCTGTGTGATGAGTTGGGTTAGTCGCTCCTTTAGCAGCTCTCGCTCCTGCTCGGGTAAAATGTTCAGCAGTCTCCTCAGAGCCAGCAAAGAGCAGGTCAACAGACGGATGTACTTAGCCTCTCGCTCCTCCTCTGGCACACTCCTGCACAAAAATAAAACAAAATAAATAAAATAAAATGAAAAAATATATTCTATACATAAACTATTACTATTATTAATCAGGCACACACTGCATATATCATCAAATATATCAACATGACCAAGTAAATCAAAACCAATGTCACCATCAGGTTATTTTTGTTCATATCATACACTTACTGAGGGTCACTGAGAGTGTCAGCTGTTTCTTTCAGCAAATTGTCTTGGAGAACCTGAAAATCAAAAAGAACATAAAAAAACTTTAGCTGAGCAATGACAACACTCATCAAAAAAATCTGCAGTATGTCTTTTTTTCTCACTATGAGCTTAAGATAAGCTTTATCTTACATTCAGGACTTCATCTTTACAGAAGCTGATGGCCTCTGGTTGTTTATTCAGGGGAAATGCGGCCTGGAAAGCAGCGCTGGCAGCCGAGGCAGCAGGAGAGTATGTGTCACACTGAGAGATGAGCCAGTGACCCATGAGGCTCTTCAGGTAGGGGGCCAGATTCCTCTTCACTTTTAAAACCAGCTGCTCAAAGGCCTGCTGTGTGGCCTCTCGCACACGGCGATCGTGGTCCTGATGAAAATATATTATATATTAAACCAACCTTTGATTTACACAAATACACAACTAAATTAAACACTCAAATTCAACTAAACTAAGCATTTACATCTTATTGCTGCCTCTATATGAAGTGGGATCCAAATATCTGAGACCACTAGAGAAAACTCAGTTTTGCCCGTTTCTTATTTAACACAAAATCTTCCATTGAAAATTATATAATCAATATCACAATTTGAATAAAATGTTCAACTGAAAAATGTACATTTACACAAACACTAAATAAAATTATATACAAGATCAAATTAGAAATATATCAATAAATTATATACAAATAATGATAGGGTTGTCATACTTCCCTTACCATTGATATTCGGCAGTATATCCGAGGCCAGTATGGGAGGACACCTTTTACAACATCAGGCTGTCGCTCTTGACATATTGCTCCAAACTCTTGTACTGCCTGAAATACACATTAACCAGCATTTATGAGTCATTCAATTACTGAGTCAGTTATATGAAATGTTTTATATAAATTGATATGCTTTGTATACATATGTAACAGGACTGGCCATATCTCCTCCTGATGCAGATCTACTTTCTTTTATTCCAGGGTTCTCCAACAGTGTCTGATTTCTATGCTGCTCATCTATTGTGGATACATTTCCAGAACTGTGGATTTTCACAAAGGTTTCTACCAAAAGCTCTGCTTTTTCTGCATTACTAACTGCATTCTTATTATTGCTACATAATACTGGCATTTCCACCTTTCTACCTAATCCACTCATTCTCCTGATTGTTCCCCATATGTCTGACAACTGAGTTTCACTTCCAATTTTATTGCAATACTGTCTCCAATACATGCGTTTGACTGACCTAATCGTTTTCCTAACTACTGCTTGCGCCCTTTTGTAGCCAATTAAAGTTTCTAGTGTGTGATGAGCTTTAAGCTCTGACTTGGCTGGAAGGAAACGTTTGGCGGCGAGAGGTTCGCTTGTTAATACCTAATTTAACTATCGAGATTTTAAGTATCTGGATTTTTTTTGTACACCACGTAGATCATGAACCACTGATATCCGTTGATTAAAAACAAACGTTGTCATATTTTTATACAGAAAAACCGCAGCTCTCCCTGTTCGTTGCGTTTGTTTACTGGGAACTCTTGCCCGCACCAATATGGCGGACGCGTTGACGTATCGCAGCAACGGACCGAAACGGCCAATGAGGCGTCTAGGTATTTATATGTCTATGGTTATGATGTCAGGCGCACGCAGTGTGCGTGCGTCAAAATACATCACGTTGCACGCCGTGGAGTGTGCTGTGATCAATAACGACAGGTATTTCTGATTTCACTTTGTGGACATTCTCGTATTCTGTATAGATAGGACATTCGTGTTTCTTTCGTTAATTTATAATATCTTACTGACAGATATTTGATTAAAAAAGCTTGTTCTGCAATCTCGTGCCTCACGTGCTGGTAGTGTATACTTCGATGTGTTTCTCGTTTGAAGAGAAAGATGAGCGTGGACGCAGAGCGTGTGTTGATCCAGCTCCAGGATGAGAGCGGTGAGGTGCTCGGATCCCCCTTCGATGTGCCGCTGGACATCAGTCCGGATAAACTGCAGCTGGTCTGCAACGCGCTGTTACAGAAGGTAGGAATGACGGACTGCAGTATGTACTTCATCCAGCTGTCAGAGCACATGATCTTTTCTTTTAGAACCCTACTTTTATGATAGATCTGGAAAAACTGTATACCTTTCAAAAGTTTGGGGTCGGTAAGATTGGGAGCTTGGGCATTTATGTGATCATGAATACAGTAAAACAGTAATATTGGGAACTAATATTACAATTTAGAATAACTGTTTTCTATTTTAATATCATTTTAAAGTGTAATTTATTCCTGTGATGGAAAAGCAAATTTTTTTCAGCATCATTACACCAGTCTTGATTGTCACATGATGCTTCAGAAATCATTCTGATATTTTGATTTGGTGCTCAAGAAACCTTTCGTATTATTATTTATCAATGATGGAAACAGTTGTGATACTTTTTTTCAGGACTTTCAGATTGCATTTGTCTGAAATCGAAATCTTTTGCAACAGTCAATACTGTCTATTTTGATAATGCACCGGTTCTAAATAAAAGTAATACATTCTCAAAACATCTCACTGACCCCAAATGGTAATGTATACGTAGTTTATTGCAATCTATAAAACTCAAATTCGCTTTATCCTCATGTGTTGTTCATGTATTTGGGTAGTTGACATATGATGTGACAGCATGAATTCATGATCAAATTTAATATAAATAAAAAAAATTAACATATTTTTAGTTTTTGTATTAAATTGTATTATAATATAATTATTGTAATAATTAATATTATATTGTTTATGTAAGGAATAATTGACGACGGGCCATTGAATTGTTAGAAAATATTGCACACCTGAGGTAGTGATGCCACTACACCTCAGGTGTGCATTATTTTCTAATAATTCAATGGACCGGAGTCAATTATTCCACTTATACTACGGTTACCAGACTTCAAGACATTGTTCTGAACATTTTATAATAAAGTAATAAAATAGCATGACAATTAATCAGCCATTTTCACTCCATCACAGGAACCCAGAGTGTCGGTATTTGGCTAGCACCAGTAAAGACTGTTCGATTCGGATCTGGGATACGATTTTGGGCCGCTGTGATAAGATCCTGACGGGACACACACAGTCGGTGACGTGTGTAAAATGGGGAGGTGATGGTCTCCTGTACACCTCATCTCAGGACAGAACCATTAAAGTCTGGAGAGCCAAAGATGTAAGATGTGTCCACTCATGATGGATTAAATATAACTTGAAACTATACTTACTAGGGTGTTTGACTGAATGATGGTGTGAATATCTGTTCTGGTCTGTGCTGTAGGGGGTTCAGTGTCGTACACTGCAAGGTCACGCTCACTGGGTCAACACGCTGGCCCTCAGCACCGACTACGTTCTGCGCACAGGAGCGTTTGAGCCTGCTACTGCAACCATTAACCCTCAGGATCTCTCTGGATCATGTATGTTTCAACAGCTGCAGTTGATTCATTATTATACACTACACTACTGGTTGCCAAGGCTGCATTTATTTGATCAAAAATACAGTAAAACAGTAATATTGTGAAATATAATTACAATTTAATATAACTGTTTTTTATTTCAATATATTTTACAATGTAACTTATTCCTGTGATGCAAAGCTGAATTTTCAGCATCCTTATTCCAGTCTTCAGTGTCAAATTTGTGAGATATAATTTCAGAATTGTCTTTTTTTCTCTCTTCTTTGTTTCCACAACAAAATTTAAAAAATAATAATAATTGACTTTATCTCACACTTCTGTTTTTATCTCAATTTTGAGTTAATATCCTACAATATTGAGTTCATATCTTACAATAATAATCCTTCAGAAATCATTATCATATGTTGATTTGATTTGAGCTTGTTTCCGCCAAGGGATAAAAAAAATAAAAAAAAACCGAATGAAATTTAATCTTACAATTCAGACTTTTTTTCTGGAAGAACAAAAAAGAATTGTAAGATATGAACTCAGAATTGCAAGAAAAACGGTCAGATCTGTGAGATAAAAAGTTAAAAATATATATATATTTTTTTATTCTGTGGTGGAAACAAAAAACTGAATTATAAACTCAGAATTCAGAGGGAAAAAATGATGTAATTCTGAGTTTATATCTCACAAATCTGACTGTATATCTCATAATTCTGAGAATTATCAATTCAGAATTGCTCAAAAAAAAGTCTGAATTATTAGATAAAAAGAGGCGGAAACAAACTTCCATAGCAAACAGTTAATATATATATATATATATATATATATCTTGCTGACCCCATACTTGTGAACTGCAGTAGATGTAATATGGTTAATTTTATAAATATAAATGTTTCTGCTTTCTACAGTGGAAGAGATCAAGGAAAAGGCTTTGACGCGTTACAACAGTGTCAGAGTGAGTGAGACCAGTTTATATACAGTATCGACCTGTAAGAGAAAGAATTTGTGTATAAACCTGAACATTTGGTCTTCTTAAGGGTGAAGGTCATGAGAGGCTGGTGTCAGGATCAGATGATTTCACAATGTTCTTATGGAACCCAGCAGAGGAGAAGAAGCCAGTGGCCCGTTTGACGGGTCACCAAGCGCTGGTCAACGAGGTGCTGTTCTCACCAGACACACGACTGATCGCCAGCGCTTCCTTCGATAAGTCTATAAAGATCTGGGATGGAAAGACGGGAAAGTAAGCCGGATGGTCCCAGATCCTTGATTGATTTGGTTGATGTTGTTTTTCAGAATAGCATACTACCATATTTCTATAATATATGTGCAGTGCTACAGTAGTCAACATTTGAAGTGGATCGAAAAAGTTCATCAAAGTTGTTCTAAGATAAGAACGGGTATTGTTTTGGTTTTAGGACAACTTTGATGAAAGGTTTTGATCCACTTCAAATGTTGACTACTGTATATTTCAATATTAATATTAGTATATATAATATGTAAAGTGTGTGCATAGTATGCAAATATTCTATATGCTATGAATATCTACATTAGTGTTTGTATTTAGTATTAAATGGATTCATAGTGACGGCAGACCCATAGTGTACTTCCAGCAGTGTACACTAGAGGGCACTCAATTCTCATCAGCGCTGGCATATTTTGCTTGTCTGTGCATGGCAACAATCCAGAGTTTCTTGAAATATAACATCAAACACATCAATATGTTTTCTCTAACTTCGTGAAAGTGTTTTTAAACGACTGTATAATCCTCATTTTGTTGTTGTTGTTTTTCCAGGTACCTGACCTCACTTCGCGGTCATGTGGGGCCAGTGTACCAGGTGTCGTGGTCGGCAGACAGCCGTCTATTGGTCAGTGGCAGTAGTGACAGCACCCTGAAGGTGTGGGACATCAAGAAGGGCAAACTGAACGCAGATCTGCCTGGCCACGCTGATGAGGTGAGACACTGAATGGATTTAGTTCAGAGGCTGGAGTCGTGCACAAATGCCAGAGCTTTAGAATGACTTCACTTTTTCAGTACATCTACATCAGTTATTTTAGTAGCATTTATATATGTCATTATTTATAATATTTACGTTAGTAATATTATTTTTTTAAGATGTATTAATTGTATGTGTTTTTGTCATTTTGTCAAATTTCTATATATCTGTATTTTTATTTTAGTTTGGGGAATTGTAGTACTTCAACTTATGTATTTATTTCAGATAGTTGCCAAGGCACTTTTTATTTTTCATATGAGCCTTATTTAAATTTCATTTTTATATAGCTTTATTTTTTTGTTTTAGGAATTTTAGTACTTCAACTTAATATATTTCATTCTTGCACAATTGGTGGCTGACTAAATACTTTTTTGCCCCACTGTAGTTGCCTAGGCAACAATTCTAATAGGTTTTATTTTTTATTTTTTTGTAATTTTCCATTTAAAATAAATATTTTTATATTGGCTTTCATTTCAATTTCAGTTTTTTTTTAAGTTTAAATGATTTTGTTATGGGCTTTAAACATGTTATTGTTTTATATTTCTATATAGCTTTTATTTATATTTTGTAGAAATAAATTAATACAATAATATCTTAAACATTTATTTTGGTTAGTTGCCATGGTAACGCTTCTATAATGATTCAAAAATTTCTTCTTTTTTTTTTTTATTTGGTGGTTTTAGTGAACTATGACAACACTGACCTACATGTATTTTAAAATGAAAAAATCATTTTTTATTTAATTAAATATTAGGATTATCATGGATATTTAAAACCTGAACATACAAGGGAATTTTAAAATTTAAAAATGCATGGAAAATTATATTTTATATATATATATTAAATGAGCCAAAAAATGTTGCATATTTTGTATATTTTACATTTGTTAACCATATCCTTCTAAAATAGTTAACCAGTAACTTGCCACATTTAGAGATGACTTATGACGGGCCACTAAGCAACCGCCTTCCAACTACATAACAAAATACTAAAAAACACTCCAAATACATTAGCAACAGCATAGCAGTGGTTTTTGCCTGGATAAACACCACTAATCTAGTTTTCTTTCATTGCTCAGGTTTTTGCAGTTGACTGGAGTACCGACGGACAGAGAGTGGCCAGTGGTGGAAAAGACAAGTGTTTAAGGATGTGAGTGACCTTGCATCCTGCACAGATTATTTATTTCCACACACGCACAATGCGGTATGCCACGCCACCTGGTAGGAACACCTGGCATGTCTTATCTTCTGTTCCCCTTTAGATGGAGGAAGTAACCCAGAGAAACCAGCGGCCCCTCGCTCTGCACGCAACAGCCAATCAGGCGTCTCAAAGCATCACACCACAGCATGGTGGACAGCAGTGTCAGAGCATTAAGCCTTAGCCTATTTGTCCAATGAAACCGCTTCGACAGCATCACAATAGCTGAAATATAATGCTCACTGATGTTGTCGGGCCAGATAGTGGGAAGATAAATGCTGCCTTTTTTGCACCACTCAAATAAGCAATTGCCCTATGGAAGTGCAGGCGAACTGACCCAGTCTAATCAGTGTAATCTTTCTCACACACATTTGTAATTAACTTAATCCCTAATGCTGCGATACAGGCAGCATTAACTGGGTCTGTTCCAGCACCGAGAGATAACCAGCATTGTCACAGTGGACCGTACTACGTCAGCAGACGTTTTCTCATATAACAAGCAGTAAAAGGATTTTTATGGGACCCGTGTCGTGTGGCTTTCTTATCTTGAATGAACAACTGTAGAGCATCAAAAGCAGTTTGTTGTTATTGCACAGAACATATATGACTTGAAGAGTCTTAAGATGGAATTCAAAGAGTTCGGATCGATTGATCAATATTGGCTACTCAAGGTCACAGGGACGGGAAACTGACCCTTTTTGGTTTATTGAATCTGTGTTGAATTGGTTGTGAAGAAGCACTGCTTATATATCCGACACGAAAGCAAAAGTAGCATGACTAGTACAGAATAAGCAACCTTTGTGGAAAATGCTTGTGTTAACGACAAAGAAGCTTATAAAAAATTGTGCAACTTAAAAAAAAAAAAAAGCTGCCATTTACATTGTATAAAAAACATCAAGCTTGAATGCCCTGGTCTTCATGATTGCACTCAACATGCTAGTTTTATATCGAGTATCACGAATGTCTGAGCCTCGACCAGTTTTAAAACTTGCGGCAACATCACGATACATTTGACTTCTTAGAAAAGCACATTTTCAGAGCTGTATATGTAAACTAGGACAAAAGAACATGTGCATTACATTGATATTTCTGCGTACTTGGTTGTGCTTTTACATTTCATGCCACATAAGTAGACTGTCTCACGACAACCTCTATAAAAGAATAGTGGAGAGAAGACACTTGCACGATTTTACAGAAGTGCAAACTGATGAAACACTTGCTCATGTATCAATATTTTTGTGCGTCAATAAATATACCGTAAGCTACAGGTTCTTTCTCGTGGCTCAAGCTCCTGGCTTCAACTATACAGACACAGATGGATGGTTTAAATCCTCTAGGCCAGAGGTCACGGTTCAAGTCTGGATCTTTAGACTTGACTGACATGGCCAACTGTGTGTGGATAGTTCAGTCTGTCTCGATCAGTTCTGCAACCTGGTCCATCTTCAGTCTGTTCTCCAGACATTGTTCAGTAGCTTTACAACCTCCTCGTAGAGAACAAAAACAATGGCCACGTCTAGACACACTCTGCCCAGTCGTGGGACCGTGCCTTTGTAGAACCTGTGATGCAAAGTGAAAAAAAGTGTTAAGGAGAGGTCGATTTTCAGTGTCACTTCAATAGGATTTCATGTGTGCTTCAAGAAGGTCACACGAGGGCGAAAGATTTTCCGATGCAGATTTTGCATCAGGTTCAGGGACCACAGCTTAGAAGAACAGTTGACCCAAAATACTGTTATCATTTACTCGCTTTCAAGTCGAAGATCCAGACAGTCGCGGGTCTCCATTAACTTCCATAGTATGGAGAAAAAAAAAATACTATGCAAGTCAATGGAGACCAGAAAAATCTTTTGTTAGAAATTTATACAGATTTGGCACAGCTCAAGGGTGAGTAAATGACAGAATTTTAATTTTTGGGTGAACTATCCCTTTAAAGAGGTCATATGATGCTGCTAAAAAGAACATCATTTGGTGTAATGAAATGTGTTTATGTGGTTTAAGGTTAAAAAAAACACATTATTTTCCACATACTGTACATTATTGTTTCTCCTCTATGCCCCGCCTTTCTGAAACGCGTCGATTTTTACAAAGCTCATCGGTCCGAAAAAGCCCTGTGATTGGCCAGCTATCCTGTGCGTTGTGACTGGCCAAATACCTCAAGTGTGAGACTGAAATGTTACGCCCCTCACCATATTGTGATGATGCCCTGTCAGGCCGGAGTGATGATTCAAAAACATGAAAACCCATTATAAACGAGGCATCTGTTGCATCCAGTGGGGACATAATTATGGATTATAATGACTTATACTGTCTTTTAACGCCGCTTAAACATAAAACCTTACATACTTACAGTCTTTGAGTCAGAACAGCCGGCATTGTAGTCTACTCTCCCAGGATCAGGAAACAGTCCTCCATAAAATGTGCTGCACACATCTGAATATTTGGGTTGAAGTGTTCTGGAACAGTGTTGTAAATACAACTTAACCACTGATTTCTAGTTGTGTCCATTTTTGGAAGGCCAAACAAAGTAGTTTCGCTTTCACAACGAATCACAGCGTCACACACGGTGGCCTCGAGTGAGTGGCGGCGGCCTACAGTGAGCAGAGGCCGGGGGCTAGCTTGAGGAACAGCAGGAGGGTTAGTGAGCAGAGGCGGCGGGTTTGAGAACGGCGTGGCCGGCGATTTCGACGAAGGAGCGTCCGGAAGGACATGTGACGACTCTGGGCTGTACTCCGCTTCGTCCACGGTGAAAGCCGATCCGGCGATCGACAGCGCAAAGTTGATGTATTCCCTCAGCAACCAGCACGGATCAGCTCCAGGCATAACGAAGCAGATATCGTCCTCTTTTGGAAGACCAAATAAAGTAGTTTCGCTTTCACAACAAAGCACACAGCGTCTTTACGACATGGCGGCGGCTATACAATACTACAGCGAGAATACAAGTTACGCCTTCTTTCTTTGCGTGAACATTTGGGCGGTGTTATGCAAATCTTCCCACATAGTGATGTAGATATGTGGGGGCGTGTTAGAACGAGCCGTTTTAGGTAGGCGTGGCTGACTCTTAACTTTTATAAAGAATAGCTTTTTGGATTTGAGACTTTAGTCTCTACAACTTTACAGATCTTCTTTATGCACCAAGAGCTTGTAACACTCCAAAGAGAAAGAAAAAATTGACATCGCATCATACGACCCCTTTAAGGCTTAAGAATAGAACATTTCATTCAAAAGGAAATAATGATTATAAAGAAAAAAAATGTACATACGCTTGAGGGCCTTCATTCTTCAAAATCTGGAATGCACAATCTAACGTGCTCTTGTAGCGATGAGCCTCCAAACCCTAAAAAAAATATATATATATATATAAAATATATCTACGAGTGGTATTTAATGACATTTTCTTTAAAAATTAATAAATATATTCATTTTAATTATTTAATAAATAATAAGCATCAATCTCTGAATCTGACCTGCATTCGAGTCTTCACCACATCAAGTGGCGTGTTCCCAAAAACACTGGCTGCCCCGGCTGTTGCTCCAAACAACGCTGTAACTAGCGGATGCATGTCACGCCTGGGGTCATCGCCTGAAGAAAAAGACAAGATGATAATTTTGTTGAACGGCAATATTAAAATCAATTAATTTCAAAGTATTACTGTCAAATGAAGGACAGTTATCACATCCTCACCTTTGTACCAGTTGCGCAACAAGTTCATAACATAAAAGCGTATAGCCTGGTTGCTGCCCTGCTTCAGAAGTGTAGCAGTCAGTCCTTGATACGTCCCTCGGACACCTACAAACATAGAATAAATATACTATTAGGCACGATTATAAAATTTTTAAAATTTTATTTTGTATTTGAACTAATTTATTCTATATTTTATTTTGAAAAATTTAATTAAAATGTTACTAATTTTACTTTTTTTTGTTGTTGTTTTTTCATTTTGTGTCCCACATGTTGATAGATGCTATTACTTCCATTACATTTTCTATGAGTGGTCCGTCTCCTACTGTTTCAATGAATAAGTAAATTGTAGGGATTTCATTTTAGTACCTTGATCTCTAATTATTTCCCGTACACCATGGAAGAACCCTCGATAGCGTGGCCTCAGAGAGCACTGGTCATGAATGAATTTCACCTTAAAATAATACAAACAGGACATATTTTGAGTGAGAATGTACATTACAGAGGACTAGTTAAAGGGATAGTTCACCTTCAGTTGATGGTCCCCAATGACTTCCATAGTATGGAGAGAAAAAAAAAAACTATGCAAATCAGTGGGGACCAACTTGTGGTGAACTATCACTTTAAGGTGATATATTCTTTTGATGTACAACTAAGACAACCAGTAACAGTCCTACCTTGACTGTCTCCATTGGACAGACCACCAACACTGCCTCTGCAATTCCCGCTCCAAGCCCACACAGCAAACTGCCTTTATTGTCAAGCCGCCCCGTGGCATCCCTCATCGGGTTACTAAGAACCTCAAATGTCCCAAACCTGCCATAATGTCAAAATGAAGTGTGTCAGCAACAGAGACACTATTTAAGATTAAACACTTAAAGACCAACGTTTCTTACCGTACTGCAGATTTCGGGATGGATCCATAAAGCAGTGAACTAAGTCCTCTGTATAGACCTCTCAACCCATGATCCTGCACTGTCAGCTTAACACAGTCACCTGTGCAAAAATCCAGGTTACGCATTTCATTTAAACATTCACATATTTTGTTCATTCATATATAGTTAAAGAATAGCTCACCCAAAAATAAAAAATGCTGAAAATTTACTCCAACATGTAGGCCTACATGAGTTTGTTTCTTCATCTGAAACGATTTGGAGAAATTTAGCATTACATCACTTGCTCACCAATGAATCCTCTGCAGTGAACGGGTGCTGTCAGAATGAGAATTCAAATATCTGATAAAAACGTCATAATAATCCACACAACTCCAGTCCATCAGTTAATGTCTGGTGAAGTGAAAAGCTGTGTTTTTAAGAAACAAATCTATCAAAGCACTTTATTTTTAAAACTGATGCTTATGGCCAAAATATCAGTCCATAATCCATAATAACTCTTCTTGCATCAAAATCCACAAACGCATTGTTTAAAACTGTTTTCACTTGTAAACAGTGCTTGATCTTTCTCTCCTGATTCGGACAAGACCAGTTTTTCACCATAGGAAGCAATAATATACATTCAGGACCCATATTTGAACCTGAATAAACAGATTTTTTAAGTTTCAAACTTCTTAGTTGTTGTTTTATTTTTTACAGCTCTGTTCTGACAAAGAAATGGCCTCATCTACATCCTGGACAGCCTAAAGGCGAGTACATTTTCAGAAAATTGTAATTATGGGGTGAGCTATTGCTTTAATAACAGTCGTCGTCCTCACCTATGCCTCGGTACCGTGGAGGATTTGCTCTTTCATCTAATTGTAGCTGGGTCTTCACATACTCTGTTGGAAATGTGATGCAGATCTCAATGCCTCCTGCAATGCCACCTGGGTAAAAAAGTATATCACCAGTAAATAAAGTGCATCTAAATTACATTCACTGACATCAGAGGCAATCTATGTGATACAGCTGTTTAACTTCCATCAAGGACAAGTCAGCTTCATACAAGGTCGTTTTGTTTTTGTTCTGCTTGGTTGTTTAACACCCAAATGTTTGAACAATGCAACCAAAGAAGTGTTTGTTGTTAAAGTAATGTTGGAATATGATTAAGTAGTTAAACTGACATTTATATTAGTTTATGTTAGTATTGGCACACTGTTTTAAGTGTCCAACACTGTAGAATACATGAGATATATGTCAATACATGTCTGGAAGCAGGGAAGCTACCATTTGGTTGACTAAACAAAGACATGCAGGTCATGAACTGACAGTGAGTTTCACAGTAATGGTAGACTGGAGGGGTTATAAATGGGAGACATTTGATCCGTAATCACGCATGACTGTTGTTGTGGTCTCGCGCATAATAGGGTATAGCGTGATCCACCAAAACATTGGCGCTTGTGTGCTTCTAACACAAACACAGTACGCACTTACCAGCAAGAATAGCCTTCCACGGATGGGTGATTGTTCTCCCTCCGATTGCTGCGGCCGCTAGATTCCTCTGGCCTGGATAAATGTTAGGAATTGGGGTAAAAGTGCGCGTCGAGCCACCGCCGGCTGAGGGAATCCGTGTCAGCGCTGCAGGATGCTGTAGCGGCGTGCATCCTCGTCTCAGTATCGCATCTTTGCACGGCCCTTCCGAAACAGAAAACGGCTTATACAAAGACGACATGTTTTAATAATATTTTACGCGTAAAGTGAAAATGTGTAATGTGTGACGACGGGCAAGATGCGTCTGCCCAATAGGATGCAGACAACACAATCACAGGAAGACCACTGCGGAGGCGGGGCGGCGAGGAGCTCATGAATATTAATATAGAGGTCACGTAGCGAGCTCAATCATTGGTCTGTTTTAAACATTTGCTTAATTTATTGCGTTACTCATCTTATGTAATATTAATAAGGTACATTCGCCGATTCAATTGGTCCAATTGTATTACCACACGCTAGCGGGTTTTTGTTAAAAATATAATAATAAATGTTTGATCAGAGAAGGTTTGAGTTGAATGTAGCAAAGACATCCAATGTAGATATGTTTGAAAAACTGTTGTCTTAGGTTCTTGATTTTCTAAATTCAAAATAAAATCGTACAATTGCGTAATATGTTTAATTCATATAAATTCATTGTATAAAATACTTTAAAAGCGTTACAAATTGTAATTACTCAAATTTTCGTCAAGCTCGGCCATTAACCTTTTATCCAAATTATTATTATTTTAAAATAAATAAATACAAAATGTTGTTTGTTAATTTATGTCAAGTTTATCCTACAAACGAACATTTGATCTCAAACTATAGCTATTCCTACCTTATTTAAGCTAAAATTGCAACCTTAAATTAAAAAAATGTTTTTTGAATTTGTAATTTGTATTTGAATCTGTGTTCTTAATGCTGGTAGTTTAAATGTGTATTTATTTATTTATTTAGCTAGCTAGCTAGTTAGCTAGAAAATTGCACAGTCATGAAATGATGATTGAATTGAAAGCTTGAATATCAAAATTTTCTGAAAATTAGAGAACCTCTCTTTATGCCGACCATTTGTTAAATAGGCTACATGAAATACATTTGTAACCATTTCAGATCCTGTTATACTGTTACACCCACTAATAGGCTATGTATACATGTGTGGTTCTTGTATTAGATGAGTGTGGTCTTTTGTGTGAATGCGGGTGTTTGTTGGGTAACAGGCAGCTGGGTGAACCTGGTGTGAATTTCACACTTAAATGCAAGCTTTTTTTCAGGTTTGTTTACACACACATGCAAAACCAACTCACAGTTTAGTGTCTCAAATATAGACAACGTTTTAAAAGGTACTAAGTTATCTGTGCTGCACCATGCAGGAGTCCAAGAATACTTTGGAGTTTGTAAAGACTGGGGAATCTGAATATGGCTCCAGTGATGAAGCACATTTGTGTCTCTCAAATGCTGCCAACAGTTTCCCAGTTTGCACCCCACCTCTTGGTCACACATTCCTATTGAGAGCTGAACCAGGGCTGGAGATAAGAGCACTGCAGCATGACAATGATTGCACCACACTCTAAGTGAAAGGACATTTTTCCACTGGTATATTTTAGCAACTGAAAGGAACCTTAAATCACCAGGAAAAAGGAAAGGGGAACTGAATAGGTGGCTTGAATTGTATTTGTCCAGTCAAGCAATTTAAAGTTCCTATTTTAAAGGTGACTTTCTTCAAAGTGTTTGCATGAGGGTAATCAGTGAAAACCTTGTTGTAAAAAGCACTTGTATGCAAACCCTCTAAACAATTTCAGTTATCTTCAAAGGTTTCATCCACAATTCCATGCATTTTCCTGGATTTTGAAATCCTTTTTATCCTACTCCAAGTGATAACCTTATCTATTTAGACAGTGGTGTCCTCAGAATGGATAATTTAACATACTGTATGTCCTCATAATGCACATTTGAGTGAGGCTTTACTGTTGCACCCTTGCTGTAGTACTGGATCATTTGAGCTCAGTATTAGTAATTTAATCATACTTGTTGAGAACTTCATCTAGGCCTAGCTGTTTGACCTTTTCCTGGTCATCTATCTTGCACATCCCAATATCGAGTTTGCATCTATTTAAAGGGTTAGTTCACCCAAAAATGAACATTCTGTCATGAATTACTCACCCTCATGTCATTCTAAACCCGTAAGACCTTAGTTTATCTTTGGAACACAAATTAAGATATTTTTGATAAAAATCTGAGAGCTCTCTGACCCTCTGTAGACAGCAATGCAGCTGCAATGTTCCCAGACCCAGAAGTATAGCAAGGACATCGGTAAAATAGTCCATGTGACATCAGTGGTTCAACCGTCATTTACGAAGCTATACGAGAATACTTTTTGTGCTCAAAGAAAACAATAATAAAATAATTTATTCAACAATTCTTGTCCCCAAGTTACCGTCCTCTACCATTTTGGAGAGTACCCCAGAGCGTAATCAATGTAATCAGCGTTTTTTACATTCAATAGACAGCGCACGCATGTTTTTATCAGATTTTATAAAAAAATATCTTAATTTGTGTTCCGAAGATGAACGAAGGTCTTATGGGTTTGGAACGACATGAGGGTGAGTAATTAATGACTGAATTTTCATTTTTGGGTGAACTAACCCTTTAAGTTGAATATTCTTTGCACAATTCATATTGCAATATTGGTACATGCACTTATTGCTGATACCAGGCAAAGAGATGTCTGTATACATTTGTATACATTTACTGTGCAGTAGTCTTAGGCCTTTAATATTTTCACCAACAACAACAACAACAACAACAACAACAAAAAAAAAATGGTTTTAAGCCAATTATCGTTATTTCCAAACATTCCTTTTGCCATTAATTGTATTCATCCACTGAGACATTTGTATGCACAAGGAGTCTGACAAGAGCCAATGCTCCACACAGAGATCTGATCTCACCCATTATCTAATCCACCTGGGATTACATGAAGAAACTGAGACAGACTAAATCCAGAAGAACTGTGGCAACGTCTCCAAGATGCTTCAAGAAACCTACCTGCAAAGCTACAGTACTGTGAAAAGTTTTAGGCACTTGTGTAAAACTGCTGTAAAGTGAGGATGCTGTCAAAAATAATGTGCTAAATAGATTTAGGAAATCAAATCAACATTTGGTGGGACCATCCTTGGCATTTAAAACAGCTTTTGCCCTCGGTGCACTTGCGCATAGTTTTTCAGGTAGCTTTGGAGGTAGGTTTCTTGAAGCATCTTGGAGACGTTGGCACAATTCTTCTGGATTTAGTCTGTCTCAGTTTGTTCTGTTTCTTCATGTTATTCCAGACAGACTGGATGATGATCAGATCAGATCTCTGTTGTCAGACTCCTTGTGCAAACAAAAATCTCACTGGATTATTACA